ACACTCTGGAGCGACCGGACCCTCAATTGTGTCCGGATTACAGGACAGGCATTGTCTGCATATTCTCATCGGTGGTCATTGAGTTGTTGGCCGAACCCCTGTACGTGTGGGCACAGACTCAGGGCTTCATAAAACTGAAAGTCATGGCCGACGGCCTATTTCTGATGACCCGAACCCTCTTAATGGTGGCTCTGGTGTCTCGATGGCCACAGAAGGCAATACTGGTGTTCTCTGGCGCACAGGTATGCGCCTCCCTGTCCTACCTGTGCTTATATTACGTGTACTTTATTTACGTACAAAAACGACGGTTCAGTGATTTTATGCCTAAAATGAGTGATAAGAATCAGGTATTGATAGACAAAAACTACGGTCAATGATATAACTGTCTGACATACCCGTCCCCATCACAGCCCTACATAGACCGGTCTCTGATCATAATAACCATAAGTTTCCTGAAGAACACGACACTCAAGCAGTTCCTGACAGAAGGCGAGCGCTTTGTGATGACATTCCTCCGGGTGCTGACGTTCGCCGAACAGGGCGTCTACGATGTGGTCAATAACATCGGTTCACTGCCGGCCCGCATGATCTTACAGCCCATCGAAGAGTCGGGTTTTGTGTTATTCACGCAGAAAATGGATCGCCAAAAAGCACCGGCAGATCAGACGCCCTCCGATTTAGCCGAATCGGCGCTTATTCTCAGAAATTTCATCAAAATTATGTCGTTATTGGGTTTAATTATATTGATATTTGGCGTCAATTACTCAGAGCTGGCGCTTCTCATATACGGCGGTCGACCCCTGAGTGCCGGTGATAACGGGTTGGCCACTGGTCTGCTTCAATGGCACTCTCTGTATATCTTGTTTATAGCCATCAATGGTATTACAGAGTGTTTCACATTCGCAGCGATGAATAGCAGACAATTGGATGCGTTTAATAAGAATATGATTTATATTTCTGTCGTATTCCTTATGAGTTCCTATTTGTTGACCAAATGGTGGGGCAGTCAGGGCTTCATTATGGCTAACTGTCTCAATATGGGCTCCAGGATTGCCATCAGGTGCGCGCCGACACTACAACTCATTTCATTCATTTGACTAAATATCCGATTTGTTATATTTTTAGCGTAAGATTTATTAAATCTTATTACGGAAGCACTAAAGTCGTCGAACCACTCAATGGATCCATTCCTCATCAGTTTGTTTTGTGGACATTTGTGTCCACTTTTGGGATACTTTTCACTATAAAGGTTTGTTTTTAATTATATAATTTATAATGTTTTAAAGTTTCATTTAAAATAATTCAAAACTTATTTGAATATTTTTGTTTGTTTTTTCTCAATACCTTTAGCCATACCTGTGCTGCGCCGACGACTCATCATTATTGCGAATTATAATTTATATAATTTTTGGATTAATGTGTCTTTTAATGAATTTATTTGTTATTTATGTAAAAGAGAGAGATTTAGTTGTTTTTATTATCAATTTATTCAAATTCAAAACAAAAAGTTTATGATTTGTTAATTTTCTATTTTTTTTGTTGTACCACAAAACATGAATAAAATTGGAAATATTATTTAATTATTCAAATAAGTTTTTATTTAGTTTATTATAAAGTTTAAGTGTTAATTAAATGTTTATAATTACAAATTATTTTTAACGCTGCAATATTAAAATTAAACATTATTGCAGTTCATAGTCTAACTATTATGGGGTTTGCATAAATGTAACAAAACTTTTAATTCATAGCATTTTAATGTGATTTTATGATAAGCTCTTAAATCTAGTCGAAATGCTTTAGTTTTTTTTGTTTTCCAATTAGAATGGGATTTAAACCTACCTTTTAAGCACCCGGTGCTCATTATTCATGAGTTTTTCTTATTATTCATTAGGAATTCCTGTTGCGATGACTGCGGATAAGAATAAGAGA